ATGACCTTAAGAGTATCCACAAATAAAATGACTTCTTGAGTAAGCATCTCTGTCTTATGACTGCCAAGCTAACACTTGTCTAGACATTAATAGAAGAGTGGTAATATGATAAGTCTTAAAGATGTTTAAAAAACCTTATTAATCTACAAACACAAAAATTAGGCGACATTACTGAAATAAAGAGGAGAATATTCTGTTGGCAACTGAAAATTAATTCCTATAAGACAGCAGTTTGAAAATGTGGTCCCAGGATGCTCCAGAGTCCCCATGATCTATTCAGAAGGCACAAGAGCTCAAGGCTACTTTTACACAATACTTAAATGCTATCTGCCTTTTGATATCTTTCTCTCATCAATGTACAATAGCATTATAGAGGCCAATAAAATGAATCCTAAGCATTTTTGTGTTTTAAATTTTTCCTGCATTTAAATTTCTAACATGGTAGATATCAATTAATATAATTTCCTAAACAAAAATTCACTTGGGTCCTCAACAGTTAAAGAATACAAAGGGGTCCAGAAAACAAGAAGTTCGAAGCTACTGAGATAAAAGTCAAAGAAGTACAATACTGGTTATCTTCAATAAAATACTTCTCAATTTCAAGAATTTCCACTATAACCATGCCAGATAAAGAATGTTCTTTATACAGAAATGTCCGCACGACATAGTTGAAGAAAGAAAAGACTGATCTTTTTAAAAGATTAGCAGACTAAGGACTTGAAACATCTTCCAACTTTGCACAGTTTTATACTGAATTTACCACATTAGAAGTAAAAAAATCCACAAACATTTATAAAGAAGCTTCTATGTGTTAAGAGATGAAACTACAAGGATAACTAAGCAATAAACCAGCCTTTACTGGGTTTACAACCTGCTCAGGGGAAAAAAAATTAATCAACAACATAGTGAGATAATACTTAAGACATGAACAAAGTGAAAGTACTGAAGGACAAGTTTGGGGCACAGGGGGTGGGGGGGGAAGACGAGCAGACAAAGCAGAGGGCTGTTTTTAAATGAGGCCATCTAGTAGATGGTATGTGAATTAAAGAAAGGGACAATCAAGGCTTTGCAATTGGAAAAAAAAATGCTTTAGCATTCTTTAGGGAGTGGGAGGAACATCAGCCCAATAAAGAAAGCATCCATCTGCAGTACATGGCATGTTCTAGAAAACTTAAGTATCACCTCAAAGAACAGAATTGCTAATTATTAAAAACTTTTACAAAATGCAACAGAGTAATTTGATATCCACTAAGTTTAATGATGAAAGATTTGGACTTATTTTCTGTATGTCTTTTGCTTAATTTCCAAGCTGATGTCAGCAGAAGCCTTTTAAAACTACTAAAAGTACTAAAGTTACTAAAAAACTAAAGTGAAATAAAAACACATAAATAAAAATTGGTCCTTCGCTATCAATATTTTGAAACACACTAGCTTAGAGGAAGGTCTGCAATATGGCAGGTTCAGAGGAGAGGCAATTATCAGGAGACAGAGCTCCAAACTAGAAGCATGCCCAGTTTACAAGGCGAATGGTCTTTCTACGGGTAAATACAAAACAGAAAAACCAATGGGGTTTGAAAATTACTACTTTATATCTGATCCAGAAAGGGGAAATTCTAGTTACCTAAATAAAATTCATCATTAGGTCTATTGTTAGAATCACACCAATTTCAGATGTGCAAACTGCAGACCATGTAGATGAAGGGCAAATGGGCAGAGAACCAAGGAGAATATCAGATTCACCACAGTTCACTCAAGTGAAAAAGACCAGGGTCTGTGTAAGAACAGAAGTGAACTGACAGTTCAATCAGCAAATTTTTAAATTATTATATACCATTTGAAACCTTTCATGGAAAAGATAAAAACATCAGTTGATATGGAGGTTTGGTAAAAGGCAGGGATTTCCCTCCCAAATTAATGTTACTTATATTAATTGAAGTATTAGGTTCAAGACTATAAAGTCCATTTTTAAGGATACCAAATTACAGAGAAATGTTGACTATATTAATGTTTCCTATTGCAATAATAAGTTAGCATTGACTAAAGAAGGCTTGTTATTTTTCATATTAGTCCCTCTGTATCTGTGGTTTTGCTTTCCACAGTTTTAATTACCTGTGGCCCAGTTTGGTCAGCATAGTACGTAAGGTATTTTGAGAGCAAGAAAGAACACATTCACATAACTCTTATACTATTAGTTATTATTGTTAATTGCCTTGTGCCTAATTTACAAATTAAACTATGAAAAGGTAAATAGGAAAAAGTGTGTGTGGTACTGTACATACAAGTCTTTATACTATCCATAGCTTCGGGTATCCACTTGGGGCCTATCGATATGGAACAGTACTTTCAGGTGTTTTATACAGTTTGGAGAAGGCATTTTGTTTGGCAGACTTTATCTACCTGGGAATCCAACTTCCCATAACCATTGAATCACTGCCCATTTTTGTATCTTTATACAGAAACCTCTATGTCTGACATAAAAGCTTAATAGTTAAAAGACATTTGTTGGAAGTCATCAATAATTTAATCAAACTAGAAAAGTATGCACAGAAAAGAACTTTCCAGTGAACAATCATCACATACAACAATAAAATTCCCTGTAGGTGGAAAAAGAGAATGTTAAAGTATTTAGACTAAATTGATTCATGTCAATTATCTAATTCTATCCAAGATATTCAGTTTTTTGTCAATTTTTATTAAAAATAGCAAATAAATATTAAATATTGAAATGAACAGAGCCCAGAAAATATATGGAGTCTTATAAAATAACACTGAAGTGTAAATTTATCTTGTTAGTTACTAAATAGGATGGCTACACTTCGTGCAGAAAGTGAGCTGACAAGTAAGCTAACAAGGGAAATCTAGCCCTAAGACACTAAAAATTTTTAACCACCTCATGCTTTATTTGGTGGTTTCAATATTCAAAAATTTAAAAACAATCCCAATCCTCTTTTTTAGGTTCTCATTCAAAGGGACATTACTATTCTTAAAAATCTAAGAGTGTGACTGTATGACAAACTACAGGAGAAAAAAAGAACCCTTATGAAATATGCTAAGTTCAGACTTCAACTTGTCAAATACCACTCTACCAGTTCCTCCTTTTCGGGACACAATCCACTAACTAAGAGAAAGCATACTGAAAAGACATTCGACAATTTGACCCAATGTCTCCCAACTTTTTTGACCATGGGCTCCTCATTCAAAAATGAAGAATAGTTTAATGAAATACATTTTAGAAAACATGCACTTGACATATTCAGTTTTAAAATCTTGAAACATTTTGCATATATTTACAGAATCTAGAAAAACCACTGCTGATGATTCATTTTTATGTGTTCAAAGTTTGTCTGCTGTTCTAAATAATACTTATTTAATCTGGAAAAAAGATCTAATACAATCCATTTTTTTCTGAGACATATGCATGACACATGGCACTTACAATATAATCTAAGCTGGCTCAAACTTGCAATCCTTCTGCCTCAGTCTCCAGAGTACTGGGATTATCAGATAAACTGCATTATTTTCTAAGGACAATTTATTGGCTATATACATTTACCTGATAGCTACTTATCCAGTTATCCTAAGTGATCATTGCCTATTCTTCCAGTTACTGGATGAAACAAGGGTGCTGACAAAGAATGACAACAAATTAATTATATCATAGGGAAGTATTATAGGAATACGTATTGTTATAATGTTTGTTTTCACAAAGTTAAAAGTTGAGAAAGGGGTTCAACACCAAATATGTTTCATGAAATATATAAGCAGGTCTCTGTGTATCAAGCATTTATTAACACATAATTATGTACAAATGAAAAAGCTTTTATTATTTATAAATAAAAGCCTAGTTGATTTAAGTTCCAATTTAGAAGATGAAAATGTGAAAAATCTAACTTGCAACAAAATAATCACGAGTAATTTTATTCAGTCCTTTTAAAAAATGCTTTATAGATTTTCTTGGTGGAATTATAAGAAAAGATAAACATTAAGGAGAGTGATTGAAATAATTTCATCACTAGGTTTTCTGAATATGAGAACAGTGAAGAAAAGGGACTATTATCACTGGACAACCATTTTATTCCTCTTGGTAGACAGCAAGCTTCGCTCACCTCAAAAACAACATGGTCAATTAAAGCATTACAAATTTCAGAATGCTGTATCTGCTATCTCTCTTCTGACTAGAGTTTTCAGTTTGCTAGCTGAAAATGAACTCTTCACAAGTAATTACGAGAACAGTAATCAATCAACATGGCTTTTCCCAGTTTACATGGATTGCTTCCGTCCAGGAATAAATAGCATAAGGTTCAAAACTTAACACATGACAAATTCATTTAGGTTGTAGCTACACTAGAAAACAGGAGTGTTAATCCAACCAGAATTCAAACTACTCACTCATCAATTTTGTTCACTGCCTACCTTCCTATGTTAATTTAATACAGTCAATTTATCATTTCTCAGAAATACTTTGTAAGAGGCAGACATTTTACATAATTCCAAAAGTAATCATTGACCTATACCCACAATAATAAAACACATTTCAATTTTTCCTTAAAATAATAATTAACTTTTTATCTGAAATCAGGGTGCTATTTCAGGTTTTATATTAACTTTCCATTTTCTGTGGGTTTTGGTTAAAAACAAATTAAGTAACATCAACACAAATGCTATTTCTTCTTTCAAGCTTCCCAGGCCCTTTCTCTAGAAGTAATCTACCCATTATGTTCTCAAGAATATTTTTGTGCTTTACCCATGGCACTTAACCTCTGTTACTGTTTGATGGATGGATTTATTTACATTTATTCTTTAGTTGCAATTCCTTAAAGGTGAGATATGACTTTATTTTTCTTTTTAACCATATTGCCTAATGAAAAAAAATCCACACAGGTAAAGTACAAAATACACATTTGGTGATTATAAAATAATTTACAACTAAGAATGAATTGTCTGAAACACATCAAAGCCACAATGAGTAAGTCCAAAGAACTCAAGAAAAATATTCTCACCGTCTGACTCCAAGGTTTGAGCCTCTGCTTTCTGAGAAAGGAAATTGAGAAGGCTGTTGAAAAGGAGTTGAGATATCATCTGGAGTCTTCAGATTCTTCTGTCCTCCTACAGTCAGCTATGCAGGGTAACAAGGGGGAAAAGATGGTTTAGTAACAATTCCTAACCAGATTCAAGTATAAACTTAGTACCTTTTCTTCTTCAATTTCAATGCAGAAGGAATCATTTGACAAGGAAGCATAAATTGTTTACGAATGTCAGTACATTAAAGGAAAGCAAAAGATTCTTGCTTTCCAAATAATACATTTACTTAATTGATAAAAGTTCCAACAAAGTAAACATGAAAAAGGTTTATAGTTGCTAAAATGTGCTTATTAACCTATGCTGACTTGGAATTTCTGAATATTTTGCCAAATTAATTCAATTATGATTCATACAGAAATTCTAATACTCCTATAGACATAGTTCAAAAAAAAAGGAATGGAAAATAGTTCTAGTTTCTCCCATAATAAAGTTGTTTTAGTTTTAAAATATTAATAATGTAACTTTTCCAACCCAATAAACATCAATTGACTTACATCTATACAAAGACTTATAGAGCAATGTGCAAAGCAGATTTACTTTTAATAGCCAAAAACTGCAAACAACTTAAATGTCCTTTAACAGGTTACTCTGCAACAATACACTATCGATACAATGATAATAGTAACAATGAAAACCATGGATGAACATCAAAATAGTTATCCGGAGCACAAGAAACGCAGAGGTGGGGGGAACACTGTGTGATGCCATTTGAATATAATTCTAGATGATGCAAATTAACCTAGTATAAAAGGTGACCTGGGGAAGGAGGACATAGATGGGAAGGAATGCAAATGGGTGTTATCTTAATATTATAGTGATGGCTTCATAGGTGTGCACATATACCAAAATTTATCAAATTATCTACCACAAATATGTGCAGTTTAATATAATTATACCTCAGTAAAGCTGTAAAATATTAAAGTATTTTATGTCCCTTGATGCAACAAGCCTAGATTTTATATTAATTAAGAAGAAAAAAACCATAGAGGGTATGCACAACTACTTAGCCATAAGGATGTTCATTACATACATTAAAAATATTAGAAATAGCTACTAAATGTCAAAAGAACTGAAAACAGTAAATAAATTTTGAGATGTTCCAACATTGGATATAATGTGGCCTCTAAAATACTACACAAGAAAATTACATTATTTTAAAAAAGGAAACAATCCTGTGTTCGGCATAATTGAATGTTTATATTAAAAGTGTACAAAAGTAAATGGAATAATTGTTTCTGTATTTAAAAGCAATTATTTTTTCTTTCTGCAGATTTATTCTAATGAATAAACATGTACTGCTTTTCTAACAAAGAAAACAAATTAATGGATGAAAATAGCAACAATCTAAAACTTCCTACTCCCTAGTACAAGTATAAAGTAAATAATTCTAAAAGGTAGTACACATTACAGAGGTAGTTCTGGGCTATCACGCCACCTCTACCAGAGACTTACTAAATAAAAAGGCAGGTCTGACCAGAAAAATGGAAGCAATCATTAAGTTACATGTTTTACCAGTTACAAAGCACTTTCATGGGCATGATCTTCCCATCTCAGTGAAATGCCTAAAGATTTTAGAGGGAAAATAGATACTGAGCAAGGCCCCAAATTATAGATCTTGGATTCAAATCAGGCCTTGACTGCAAATTCTGATAGGAGTTTTCAAAGCAGTAGGAAACAATCACGTTTCTTGATTAATTACATCTAGAAGTAAGTTTTCACACATAAACTTAAAAATAACCACATTTGCAATAACACATATGAGAATGTGTCATAGACCTCCAGAATTTTCTAAATTTCCAAACTCTAAGCTATAACCAAAGCAAGTTTAAATTGCATCCTGTCAACATTATCTATCAAGTCACTGAAATTCTAGTAGACTTTAATTGTTCAATTTTCAGTTACATTTCTTTCCTTCTTGAAAAACATTACTTTCTATTTTAAAGTTAGAATAAGAAGATAATCATAACTATATTTAAGAAGGCTGTGAACAGTGACCTACAAATTGATGTCAAAAGATTTAACTTGATGGGACTTTAAAATACTTCCTCTCTAGCTAAGCCATTCTTAGTATGGGTATCCAGAAAAAAACAGTCCCCAAATAGGCATACTCTATAAAGAAAACTTCCTACTCTGAACAAGAGTAAAAAGTAGGTATCTTCAGAGTAGCATTTTAAGGAGCTGTTCAGTGTCTAAGGACAATGCTTTGAAGCCTAAGAAACCATTACAGCTACTACTCTTAACCAATATCCCAGGACTCAGAGAGAGTTCATAGGTATTGACAGCTGTCCTGTAGAGTGGATGCTACATGTGAAACACAATGCCAAGCTTTTCACATATATGACCTTGAAAAGAGCCCAACAAGGTGACTTTTATTATCCCCATCTTATAGATGAGAAAACTGAGTTTAAGTTACCCCAATCACAAAGTACTTAAGAGGCTGAAGAATTCAAATTGTGGTAACATTTTACTTGGAAGAAAAAAAAAAAAAAGGAGCATCAGCAGTTATCTGGAACATATATACTGACTTTTTTCTACTGCTATTCATCTACAATGGTCTGAATTCATGTATTGCAAAAACAAAAAAATACTTGATATTAGTAGATGAACTTCATGAGTGCACGTTTTCACATAAAGGAGATAAAAATATTTCAATCCCCAAATCTGTCAGTATTTTGCCATATTCTATAATTATTTATTTTAATGGGTGGTCTCTATTGAAGCATTATTACATCCCTTTTGAGTTACAAGTATGGCTTTACAAAAGATAAATTTTAAAAATATTTAAATAACATTTAACAAAAGATAATATAGAACAAAAAGATAATACAGAAAAGGTACTTTCACAGATTAATATATACAAGTTTACTTCTATTTATAAATGGGTAAATTATTCTCATATACAAATCAATGAATCATGACAAGAAGCACGCCTATGAAAAGAAAATGTTTAAACCACTTTATCATAATGATATAGTGGAATATTATGCAATCATTAGAATATGTTTTCTAAGACTATGAAATGACACGGTAATATCAGAATATAATGCTTTAAAAAAAAAAGCAAGACACTATTCATTTGAAGTGAACAAACTGTTAAACAAATTAGAAGACTAGGCAGGCTAGTGGCAGAATTACTGCATGAACAGATAACCACAGGCTCCATGACAGTCAAAAAGAAGGAAACAAGATAAACAGAATAGCTGATACATTCAAATACAGCAAGGTAGAAAGGAGGCCACTTTATATTTATGAAGTGGTGAGGAATGGTGTCTCTGAGGAAATAACAACTACGATATGTAAATAACCCGAAGCCCTAGTCAAAACAAAATCAAGTGAGGAGAATTTCCAGTAGAAATAATAGCTAATGCAAAGGCTACAATGCAAAGATATGTCCAAAACTTGTATGCAAATAATGATATCAGTATCAATTATGATAGCCAACTTGTAAACAAAATAAAGTGGTAAAGGGATAAGCCTAAAAGTGGTAACCAAAAACAAAAAAAAAAAAGCAAATGGAATGAACTAGTGATTCATGGAACAAGGATGAATCTCAGAAACTTAATGCTTAGTGAAAGAAGCTAGACACAAAGGATATCTACAGTGCATGATTCCATTTACATATGAAATATCTTGAAAAGCTAAATTATAGAGAAAACAGATCACCTCCTGGGACAGAACAAGGGGGCAGACATTGCAAATGAGCATTTAGGAACTGTGGGGATCAAAATGTTCTAAAACTGGACTGTGGTAATGGCTGTCTAACTGACTCAAAAGAATCAAGCAGAACAACTACAATGGGTGAATTTCATGACATTTAAATTATACCCCAGTTGTAAAAAAGATTCTAAAGGATGTACTTTAGCCAGATGTACCAGGTGGTGCATACGTATAATCCTAGCTCCTAGGGAGGTGGAGTTAGGAGGATCACAGTCCCAATCCAGCCTGAACGTAAGAGCAAGGCTGTATCTTGCACAAACAAACAAACAAAAACCCAAAAAACAAAAGAACTGGGGGGCATGGTTCAAGTGATAGAGCACTAACAACTAACAAGCATACGCCAAGTTCAATCCCTAGTACCATACAGAAAGAAAGAGACAGATATGCTTCATACAGAATTTAAAGAATTAAATTGCTGTAAAAGGAATCTGATATAAAATAACTTTTATTATTTAAGATAATGATAATTTTAATTAAACCTATATATTACAATTACTCTTTAGAAAATGCGAAAATAAATAAAGTAACTGTCTACCTCTTTCATACACTACTAATAAAAATGTAAAATATGGTGTACTGCTATGGAGAATAGTTAAGTAATTCTTTAAGAAAAGAACAGTTACAATATGATCATATAACAACTTGTGTCCATTAACTGTTGAGTAAACAAAACATGATTAATCCATACAATAGAATACTATTTAACCACTGAAACTTGCTACAACACAGATTAACTTTATAATGCTAAGTGAAAGAAACCAGTCACCAAAAACCATGCTTTGAATGATTCAATTTATTTGAAATATCTGGAATAGACAAATTAATAGAGATACAAAGATTAGTGGCTGGGAATAGAGAAAGATGGGACTGCGGTATGAATGCTAAAGGGTATATGGTTCCTTTTTAGGGTCAAGAAACTTAAATTAATTGGTGTTAGTTACACACCCATGTAAACATAAAAACCAAAATCAATGAATTGAACACTTCACATAGGCAACACTTTTGGTGTATGAATTGTATCTCAATAATGCTGCAAAAGATGATTATTCACCTGGTATTTATTAAAACATCAAAGTTAATTTCAGCATAAAAACCTGGAACTCTAATTTTACTGATTGGCTTTTGAGCTTGTTTCACATTTATCTCAGTTTGTAGGCCTAAAATTAACTCTGGCTACATAAAATGTTTTTAAAAGTAACTAGATTTTCATAAACCATTAGCAAACAGAAAGTAGAATTTTAAAACTTTAGGGGTTGGCAAAGTTGCTCAAGTGATAGAACACTTGCCTAGCAAGTAGAGGTCCTGAGTTCAACACCT